GGCCCACAAGTATCCCAGGAGCAACTTTGCTCCCAGATGCTGGAGCAGGTCTTGGCCTTGGAGCGCAGTCGTGGTGGTTGTTTCCTGAATTCCCACATTGCTGTTTTCCACACATGGATCAGGCTTCAAACTTCCTGTGTCTGGACCGTTTGTGTGCATGTGCACGCGTGCGCACGTGTGCGTGTGTGTTTATACGCTTGCAAAGGGTGGAGAAGGGGGAGGAGGGATCCAAAAAGAAGAGTTTGTATTGCATATGTGTCCCTTTGTTCCTTTCCCATTCAGATAAAGCCGCTATATTCTGATCAGCTGGCTTCTGCCTGTGCATAAATAGAAGTGAGTTTAGAAGATGTCCTCAAGAAGGCTACATTTCATTGTTTGGCTGATGTATTTTGTAGGGTGCTTTTTTGGAGGAGGGGGGGAGAGTTATGCGGAGCCATAAATCCTTAGGATTTATTTTCCCTGGTGTACGTGCTTCCCTCTGCTTTTGTTTCTAGACGCATTTAAATGATTTAGTTGTTCACCAGGCAATTAGAGGAAGATGTGCTCGGTTCACACTCCCAGTTGACTTGGTGGGTGGAGGAGAATGCCACTCAATACAAAGCACTCTGGTTTTGTGGTCTTTTCCTCTAGAAGAACCTAGCCGGGGTTGAGAAATAGATTACAAGCCACATTCTCCTTCCTACTTTTCCGATATGCTGGGCAAAATATTGCATGAAAAGGGCAGATTTTTAAAAATTAGAACATTTCTCAATTGCCAAAATTAAAAACCAGGAAATTTTACATTAAAACATTTCACTTTCGGTTTCTCTTTCAGAAGTCTTGGACACACTGGGCCTGCATTTCCCATGGTGTTAACCAAGCTCCCCTCTCTACATGCCCCCTTTGCTGCCAAGAAGAAGGTGGCCTCCATCATCAGTCTTGTGTCCTGACACCTAGCCCGAGGGTTGTTACCTTAAAAAAATTTTTTTATTGCAGTAAAATGCATGTAAAGTAAAATTTACAATTTTAGCCATTTTTAAGCATAAAATTCAACGGCATTAAATACATTCCAAATGTTGTTCAACCATCACCACAGTCTATTTCCAGAACTTTTTCATCATCCCAAACAGAAACTACGGTCATTAAACAGTAATTCCCCATTCCACTCTCCCCTAGGGCCCTGATCACCACTATGCTACTTTCTGTCTCCATGAATTTGTGCATTCTAGGCACCTCATATAAGTGGAATCAGACATTTGTCCCTTTGTGTCTGGCTTCTTTCACTTAGCATAATGTTTTTCTAAGGGAGAAACTGATTTTTTAAGTTGCCTTTTAAAAAAAAGCATAGACACAGATTTTTATTGCATGTTAAAGGAGGAGTTGCATTTTATTAGAGAAAAAAAAGGCCAAACAGGACAGGTGGTTTGGTGTAGAGGCTCTTTACTTATAAGCTTCAAATGATCATTATATCCATTATTAATATACAGAGGGTCTTAATGTACTTAGGCAACCCAGTGTCTTTACACAGGTGTTTTACAGTTAGTGGTTAATTCTCCTGGTATCCCCCAGAGGCCTCTCCATATTTTATAGTCAGGCTATGAAGACACAGGGATGCTCTGGGGATTAGTTAAATGTGTGTGGCATACTTTGCTGTATAAACTCACTCTATGGAACTAGTTTTCGCTCCCTGCTCTCAACTTCCACAGCTTTTACTGTCAGTCCCATTCATTTAGCACTTAGCATACGCTTGTTAGTTGTCTTTTTCTGTATATACCCTTGAAGGCAGGAGCCAAGTCTCATCCCTCTTTGTTTTTTCAGTCCTGTCCATAATAGCAGCTTGATCAATGTTTGTTGATGTTGGCCTCCCCCTCCCCCTTCCTTTTAAGTAGAGCTGGCAAAGCATAACTCTAAATTCAAGCCCAGTTTAAACAAACTCAAGGGTTTTCAGGGTAAAAACAAAAGGAAGTCTTGCGTGGCGGGAGAAAAGGAACACCTAAGACGCTTGAAGACCTGGGCCAAGCCCAGGTACCAAAAAACCTGTTGTTTGTTTGCCACAGGCCTAAGAAGTGACTCACGCACAGCCTGAATCCACCATTAAACTCAGAACTCTTGCTCACTCTACTCCATCAAAATTCAACATTTAGAGAAGAACAGCAATGCCCCAGGCAGGATCTGAGGAGGGGTATTAAAGGATTTAAGTGTTTTAGGGGTTGCCATTGCATGAAGGGCCCCATAGCTGTAGGGAAGACAGGCTGGAAAAGTCTTTTGAGGGCAACTTCAAAGCTGGGGACAGACAGCCGACAAAGAGCCACCATGCCTTTGCTACTAGGATTTGCTTCCCAGCGTTTTCTGTAATGGCAAAAGATGGAAACTAGCCTCCTTGGCCTCTCAATAGGGGAGTGCATAAAGGAATTTTGGCACATTTGTGCAATGGAACACTGAGCTATCACGGAAAAGAATGAATTAAAGGAAGTTATCCTGAGATGGAAGAGTAGTAAGAGACCTTGCTGAGGAAAGAAATGCAAGGTGTGCTGTGATTGATGATCCCACTTAGAAGGGGCAAAAATGGAACATCTATATGTAAATAGTATGTTTTGAAGATTGTACACAGGCAGAGAGAGAAGGGGAGAAAGGGACTGTGAGAACAGTGGCAAAGAGGAACTTTTTACTCCTTTCAGTGTAGTTTTGATTTTACCATGTGCACGTTACTTTTTCCATTTGACCAGCATTGTTCATTTTAACAAGTATCCTGTTGCCATTGTGATCGGTAGTAGTCTGCAGCATATACCTATCCAGTCTAGCTCTGCTGTCCACCCCTCCAAATAAGGCTGAAATAATCTTCCCTTGCCTCACAAGCCAGGTGCCCATGTTTTGAACACTCAAAATCTTACTTTCCCCATGAAAAAATCACCCAAATACCTTCACCTCACCCATAACCTCAATCACACCAAGAATCTACTTTGCTCATGTTCCTGCTTCTGAATCTTTGAGCAGCCCTAGCAGAGCACCCTGCATACCCAGGCTACCCCACAGCATGCCACCAGCCTATTACTCTTCCTGGACTCCGTTATATTCAGGAACCCCGTTCACAGTGAGATAGTGTTTCCTTTGAGCCCATTTCCTCTTGCATGCCTTGACCCATGGCTCTCAGAAGGCTTCCTTTGGGGGGCTTGAAATGGATGTCACTTTTTTATTCGCATGAGTTGATTATAATAGCTCTGCATTGCCAAGACCTTTACAATTAAACTCATTTCCACCTTGCAACATTTTCTAGGAAATATGGATCTGTGGAGAATGGTGATTTCCATGGTAAGTATTCCCTCATGTTTGTTTTCTCAAGTTCACTTTGGAGATACACAGCATGATTTCCTCTTTCAGTACCAATGCCACAATAGATGTAGGTTGTGGCGCCACTTCAGAACTGTTTAAAGGAGAAATCTCACCCACCCTGGTTAGAAAGGGAGTAATTTATTATTCTAACTGCAGGGATCTGACTTCATATCCAACCTCAAAACTGTAGAAAAAGAGTTGACTTTTAAAAATAAAGCCACAAAACCTACACACCTTGGATGTAGATGCTTAAAACAGAGGAGCAATATGTTTGGTTCCTGGACATGGGACATATGCAAGGAGAAAGACATACATGTGTGGAGTGCTCTGTGGTTTACAGAGTTTTCACACACAATTCATCTTATTTTCATATATCAGTGTCGTTAAGTTAATATAAGGGAATGTCTTACAGCCTTTACTTAAAGATAGATCAAGGCTCAGAGAAGTTAAGTGACTCAACAAAAGTCGCACAACTAGGTGGTAAGTGCTACAGCGCAAAATGAGTTCTTCCTTTAGTTCCAAATTCCATGTTATTCTGCTAACCTTACACGGTTTCTTTGTGCTTTTGTTTCACAGATGTAAAATGGTAGATTTTCAGTGTCCCAGGATGCTGTTCTCAACCCTGTGTTCTCAGGCGGTACCACTTTTTTTTTTTTTTTGGCAGCCGGGAAACGTGAACACCACATTGACACTTCACGTACTTTTTACCCCTCCTGGCCTAACGAATTAAGGGGGATGAAAAGTTACCTATTCCCAGAGGGCCGGACAGTGCCACAAAGGTGTACAGGAGACAGCCGACACACTTGTCGCACTCTCTCAGACTGAGAAACCAACCGTCTCTTCTTTCTCTTAGCAGTAGCTGGGGGAGAACGGAGAGCTAGACAATAGTCTCTTGTTCAGTTTTATTAATTTTGAGGGCGGGTGGGACAAAAAGATCGGATCGACGATGCAAGTGACCAATCGCGAGCGAATCCTGAGCTGGGATTCGCCAATAGGTAGCAGCAAAAGACTGGTGGGTGGGATTACTCTTCGAGACCTGCTCCGTCCAGGCCTGCCCTCCCAAGAGGCGGAGACTCCGCGGAGCTCCGCCCAGGCCCCCTGTCCCCAGCGCGGCCCGCCAAAGGGAAGGGGGGCGGGGACGCGGGGGTGGGGTGGGAAGGGGGGAGGCTAGGGGGAGCGGAGGAAGAAAGAAGGGTGTCGCGCAGAACTGAAACCTGGGTGGGGGCCTGCTGGTAATAGGAAGCAAGAGGGGAAGGAAGACGAAGGAGCGCTGCTCCTTCCTGCATTATTTTGAGCAGGCTCTGCGAGTAGCTGCTTTTCAGCATTTCTATTATTTGTGTTTCTTCCTCCCGCTGTGGGGCGGGGAGCTGCACGGGCTCTCCCACGCGCCTCCGCTCCGCTGGTGTCGTAGATTATTATTGTAGTCTTTGCGGAACCCTTTCCTTCCTCCCAATCAGTGTTTGCGTAGCCTCTCAGGACTGCAGCGAGCGCGTTAAGCCACGTTACTGGAAGGACAAGAGCTAGGAACCCCCCACTTTCGCCAGAGTGGCTGGACCCCGCCGTTCAATTGTTTGAAACTTCCCCGCCCTCTGGCCCCGCCTCTCTTCCGCCCCCCCACCCCCCCAGTCCCTGGGTCCAGGCCGGCTCCCTCCCTCCATTCTCCGCCCTCTACTCCGCCCCACTCTCTAGTCCACCCTCCTGCTCCGGGGCGGTCCTAGCGGCTCACCGCAAGAAGAAAAGCCACCCATTCGCCCCCCTCCCCTACCTCCCATCCTTTGCCCAGGAGCTGCCTTCATCGCAGTCACGCCCCTTCCTTCCGAGGAGCTTTCTGGCTGCCCAAGCTAGTAGACCCCCTGATTTATTCCTCCATCTCCGCTCTCTTTCGCCTCATCTTCTCTTAGTTCTCACCGCCCCCTCCACCCCCCACCTCCAGCCTGTCTTGCCTCCGACCATCCGCTGCTCCACCCTCCGTTCCGGTATCCTGCCTGTCCACTGCCACCAAGGAGAGCCCGGACGGAGCGGCGAGGAGCCGAGCAGCCGGGAGTTGGGGCTTCCCCCTGCCCATCCCTGGCCTCCGGCCCGGGACTGAAGCCACTTGAGCGAACAGAGAGTCGTCACCTGGTCTTCGGTACCTTCAGGGGTAGGAGAAGCATGGTTACTTTTCGCGGGGAACTGGGGCAGGAATCCATGGTGGCATGAACTTGATCGTGCCCTCGGCGTGAGTGAGTCGATCTAGATGCGTGTGGGGATGCCCGTGTGTTCTACTTTCTCTGCAGCTGGCCGTGAGTTTTCCGGGATGAGCAGCAACTTAAATCGGTTGAAGAGTGTGCGCTCCTTTCTCGTCCTACAGAGATGCTAGTGGGTACCACTACTTAATGGTACTTTTACTTCCTTGCCTCCTGGGATCCTTGTGGGTCTCTAGGTAATTAAGCACAAAAGGAATGAGGGAACTTCAGGTCTTCATTTACCTCAGAAGGAATGTCTGCGCTTATCTCAGATTGCTAGATGCGTTCCTCCAGAATGCTTAGAGTTGGGGTGGGGGCTCACACTGCCCTCCCCCGGGGGCTGTGAATTCTTGAAGTCTAAAAGTCTGGGAGTAATCTACAATTTACACTCCTTTCGGTGTGTGTGTGTGTGTGTATGTGTGTGTGTATGCATGTATGTATGTATGTGGTGGTGATGATGGAATTGCCCAGTATCTGGTTTATAGATGTTAAGTGACGAGTTTCTCAGGATCATGCAGGTGTCTTGAGGGTCCCAAGTCTGGGTCCCTGTACACTGGTACTTCAACAGCAAGATGGATTTATCGATACATAAAAACAAAGAAAAGGAAAAGCGAGACGGAGAGTGACAGCCTTTGTAGCCCGATAAATTGCCAATAATAGTAGTATAATAATAATTTGCAGCAAGGGACTATATACAATTAAATGAGAGAGGAAAGCGGACGTTTGTGAGAAACAGCATTTTCAGTCTCTAGCATGTATTTTTGAAAGAATTGTGGAGTTGTGTTGGATGTAGTTCTATCTCCTTCTGTTCCCCACCCCCACGTTAGGACTAGAAGTTGGGAGGCATTTAAAACTTTTTAAAATATGACTCTCTTTTATTCAGAGAGGAAGATAATTAGTCACCATAATCTTCAATAATGGAGGGCTAAGGTAATTTAAGTCTCCTTGAACTAGGTTTTGTGAAAAGCCGTATCTCCGGCCAGCCTTTGTGAAGCCTTCTCAGTTAGACCTTTTCAGCACCCTTGTTTAGTAGCTAAGAATACTTCGCAGTACCATTTTGGATGCAGGATAAATTTTCTCCCATTTCCCACCTATCTCCAATTGGGCGAACATGGCCAAATGAGAAGGGTGGTGGTATTCAAAGACCTGTAACTAAATTGTCAGCAACCCATGGTTTATTTGGGAACAAATTATTTACTTATTTTTTTTAAATAGTTGTGCTGGTTGATTTTAACGGGAAAGGAAAGCATGAAGGGAGAGAAGGAACGGCACAGGGTGACAATTTTAAAGGCTATCATCTTTCAGATCAACTGGGAGGGAAAAGCTGGCCTGACCAAACTACATTTTATAACTGGCCTGGGACATTTTAATAGCCAGGTGGTTGTAGAGTAGTTGCATCTATTTACAGATGATAACTCAGGTTCCAGTTATTCTGTATGGGTTTATCCGGTGTCATTTACAGACACTTTCTGGCACTACATCATACTTCGTTTTAAGATACTTCTTTCTTTGGAAAACTCTGTGGCTCTCTAAAATTGAAAGTGCCTTTTCTAACTTCATAGTCTAGATATGCAGTAAACCTCTGACCATGCTTGTATGCAGAGTAACTTTTATGTGAAAGTTGTGGATCTGCTTACCTATTTAAAATATTTTAGAAGGAAATTTTAAATTCAATACTATTTTGGATTTGGGTATTGACAGCTCATTTCTGGTTTGTGAAGTAGGAATTACTAGATGCACACCCAAGGCATTTTGTGGAGTTGCTTTTTCTAAAGTTTTGTAAAGAGCGAATGAGACTCTTTCTAGAATGCCCTTAAGAACAGTCTATTCAGAACACAGAGGGATGGATGCTATGACCTTGAGGTCCCATTGAGTGCCAGAATTCTAAGTGGGTACATCTGCTTCTGTGCCTCTCCTAAGAGCCCTCTCCCAGGGCCTGTGCCTTCTTTAAAAGGGTGTCTTTGTAATTAAGCAGACTGTCTCCCCCATCCCCCTTTCTTCCTTTGATCCAGCTTTTTAAGGCCCTTTTTCCATTTGGAGACAAGAGGAGTTTCTCACACTCTCCTACTCCCCTCTTAAGGTTTCTTTTCCTTTCTCCCCCAAAAGTCCCCCTAAGTTCTCAGGATGGTTAGAAGTTGTTTTGTTTTGTTGGGATGGAGGGGATGTTACCAGTGAGGAGAAGTAGGGGATATATTCCCTCTTGGGAAATGCTTGTGATCAGGTAGCCTCCTCCATGGAGATTGAGCATTTGGAATGCATGAGAACAGTCTATTCTTAGGGACTGTCTGGAAGAAACTGTCCTTTGCACCCATTAAGTGTGGCTAAAACCCACTGAAAGGGGTGGAGAAAGGTGTATGTGGTCAGGCTGAGCCTTTTAGGATGGGTAAATGTTCCCCAGTCTCCTATTACATCACCTCTTTCCCCCATGGATTCAGTGGGTTTGGAGATCTGCTTGACAAGTTAATTAGCTTGGGACTAAACCAATTTGTTCAGAATTGTGCTCCATTGATTTCCCGTCCCCAGGAATTTTTGTTGGTGGTTTTCTATGATGTGTTGTCTTTAGTCTTGCTTACTTCTTCATTCCTTGCTGCCTTTTGTGGACTTTGGTCCAAAATCTAGGGTCCCACCCCCAAGTCAAAGGTTAGAATTTGGTCCCAGGAACTAAGGGGGCATTAAAACAGGCTGCGCATCCTGCACTGCTCTCCTCCGCGGTGGGCTCCTGACCCCTTTTAACCCAGAGAAAGGAGGGAAGTTGCCCCTTCCACACACACACCGCAAAATCTGAACTTAAAAGAAAAGGAAAAGGAAGGAAAATAAGAGGTCATTTGCTTTATAAAAGAATCCACTACAGGTTTCTTTGAAAGAACTAGCTTTCCTAGTTTGTGCTTTTGAGCTATGACTTGATATATACAATTTACTATAACTGGGACTTCTCACAAACATATTTATTGCATAAAGGAAGACATTAGAATTTTGTTGTAATGACTATAGCTTGAATTAAGTGAGGCAATTATTTGGCCTTTGAAATCTTTTTGTTATATGGGGTGGAGTTAATTGTCTAAATCATTCTGGCTTGTAATAATGCTGGCCACGTTCAGCTCCAGCCTACAACCACTTGTAGAAGGGAGCTAGTATGACTTTCTGGAAATAAATCAGACTTCGCAGATTTTGATAAGTCTAAGGATGGGACTGTCTACCCCACATAGGTCAAACAGTTTAATTCTAGTTATTGTATTTGAATAATCCAAGATCCAGAAGATTGTTTCTGGCAAATAGCAGCAACTAATGCTATTTTTATTAGAAGAATCTACAATAAACTTTCCTAGTGAGCCTCTTGGAGATTGGGATGTGGGCTCTAGGCCCACCTCTAACTTAGTTTACCACCCTTGGCAGGCCCTCCTCTGTAAATTGTGAGAATTTGGACAGGGTGATTTTGAGAACCAGTTCTCAAAAGTTTATGGTTCCCTTCCTCCACCTCTACTTGTGGTGTGAATGTGAATGATTCCTACTAGAATGAGGTGCAACAATTGTTAGAAAATGCAATCATGTAATCATCTGGATGTTTAAAAAAATCTCTTAAAGGATATATCAATATAAATGCATTGTGCTTTGTGTTTTAACAACATATCAAATTAAAAAGCTAGGATCCTGCCCAGAACTTCATCAAGAATCCCATCGACCTAACAGATCATCCACTTTCATTTTTCTTAGCTCCTTTCAAGTCTTTGTTTCTGTACTTAACATGAATTTTACATAGTTGGGGTGGGGTCACAGAAATTTACAGTTTCTTTTAAATAAGTGCTCACCTAAGACTTAACTTTTTTTTAAACCTGTGGGGAAAAATGAAGTGAGAATCTGACTAAGTACGCATGAAGAATCATGTATGTCTGTTCCTTGAATGCCAAGAGAGACTAATATTAATTAGTCTCTAGATTTAGTAAGTAATCCCTCGCCCTTTCTGTGATTTAGGGTTGTTCATGTATCTAGCAAGGCTGTTCAGTCCACTCCCTTGACCTCCTGTTACCCCTCCCTCATTCTATTTAAGCAAAAAGAAAACTACATTCCACTGTTTACTTTGTCTAAACCATTAGCAATGGATTCTTAAATCACTGTATCATGATGTGCCATCAAGAGAGTACAAATTTGGGTGGACTATAAAATTTCCCCAATGAGAAAGGAAAAGCAGGAAGGCACAAATTCTTGTTTCATGGCTTTTGAAAATAATATGTTGAAGTTAGACTAAAAAATAGTAAGGGAACTTATGATTTGAGACAAAGAGATATAGGTGTGGCAGGATAACCCACACGTAATGGGTTCTTCATTTGAGGCCTTCCCTATACAGTGGAAGCTCAGTTACCGGTCCTTTAATTTTCCTTTGATAAAGAGAAGGTATATTGCACATATGATCTCCATTTTGGAGAATTCATTCCTGGAAACCAGTGGCTCATCGTAAATTAGATTATATTTCTTTAACCAGGATAGGAAAGTGAAGTATGGGTTTTTAGTCCTTAGAAAGCTCCAAATTAAGTACATTTTTAATGATATGTATTCGTGGGGAAAATGCAGATGGATATATTTCCTAGTACCTCCAAAGATAATTTTTGAAAATCTACCTTTCTTTTTTAACTCTATAGGCTGCCCTTGACGTTTGTAAAGTCACTTTCATTATTGCCCCAACTGCATGAAATACCATTAGACTGTGTGACTTGAAGCCAGGATCTATGCTTTCTGTGCCCAACCCTCTTTGACTTGCCATGTGACCAGGCGTAAATGAATTAGCTGCTCTGAGCTTCAGTTACCCTTCTGGGAAGCAGGGATATTAATACTTCACAGAGGTGTTTAGGCATGCTTCATATTAGACACATGCTTCGAGGTCATTGGATGAAAGGTGTTTGCATGATGGCAGAGCCCGTTTATTATAAGGTCCTGAGCAGGTGTTCACTTTTAATGAGCTTTGCTCTCTTAAAACCTGTCACACCCTTTGGTGCCCCATTGCCTTACTGACTATAACTGATCATCCCAACATTTGTATTATTGACCCTCTTGGCTCTTAATCATTAAACATTTTCATTCTATGTGGTAAGCTGAAATTCTAGTGAGAGGACTCTGGCCTCTTCCAGGGTGATGAAAAATCGCTTCGAAAAGAGACATCAGTTGAAATGTGCCATAGAGATCAGCGAGTTCTTCAGAGCACTTCCAAAAGATTAAAAAGAGTACAACAAATTTCTGCGTGTGTTTGTGTGTGAATGTGTGTGTGTGTTAAGGGAGAAAGTTTTGAGTAATATTTGCTTGTGACACATACTGATGATAGCCAGTAACTGAAACCCAGCCATTGTAGTGTTTTATACACAGCTGGTTTTTATTAATGATGGAATATTTATGCTTGCTGTACAATTCGTGGCTCATTTCCATGCGTATGTCAGAACTCAAATACCCCCCAAAGCAACATTAAGATAACATTAAATATACATGTGGCCAAGCTAGAAAGGGTGGATTTTGGGGGGTCTCCCTTATTCTTACTGGTGTTGCTTCAGATGACCATAACTGCCCCCCCCAACTTTAGGCATTGGTGCCGATCTTTTTCTTCTTTATATATCTCATTTTGATCCTTTTGATATGGACAAATGATCTCCCCCCTTCAAAATGCAGATGAAACTGATGTATGTGTTTTTTAAGAGCATATTTTCCCTGCACATGCTTCTCATTATCCAAGAGGCCTGGACTCAATCAGTAAAGGAGCAGAGAAACCACATAATTGAAAGGAGAATGACGGTGGTGCATACTTGGAATATTTGTGGGAAGGGGATTGCTGACATCAGAAAATGTAGTGGCCTGAGTGTTAACAGCATTGAAGAGAAATAAGCTTTCTGTGTTTCTGTGCATTGAGAATTATTTTTAAGGGGATAAAAATATGGGCCAGGTTTGACATCCTTTTATGAAGTTGCCCTGGAAACTTTGATGAAGGTTGTTACAGAAGAGTTCAATTAAAACCTTCCCCATTAGGAAGCTAATTAGTACATCACTTACTCATTTTGGTTGTTTTCAAGGGGCAGGATTTGCATTGAATTAATGGCATTTCTTTCCATGTGACAGCAAACTAAGATAAAAATCACAGATGGGGAAAATTATTTAGATAGCCTATTTTGAAGAAGTTTAATTTCCTCTCTATTACATTTAGGTTTTCAGTTCAGATTTTTGTTTCACTCTGTTTATATACAGTGATAACATTTTAGTTTAGTAACCAGTTTTACTTTTGGGATCACCAGCTGTAAACCAAAGCTTATTAATTTGAGTTTTCCATATGAATTGGAGAAATATGGTGAATGACAATAAGCCATTTTATTAAGTTAACATTTGTGTTTTTTTCCCCCTGCAATTAATTTCTCTTTGCTCTTCTGTGTGTGTGTGTGTGTCTGTGTCTGTGTGTCTTTGGGGCCGGCAAATTGTTTCTTTAAAAGCAAACAATTTTTGCCGCTAAGGAAATTTGGATGACCCCCTTTATCCCCAAAGAGCATTCTGTCTGCCCCAGGGTCTCAGTTGGGCTTCCAGGAGGGCAATGTGATGACTTTTTTGACCTGGTACTTTTTGTGACTAGGCTAAGTGGTTGTCTCTTGGCCGCCTGAAGGAGACTGGTCTTGATGGTAACTGGAGTCCAGGATTCTTAGTGTCTACCTTCTACCGTACTCTGTGTTTTTTAGAGGAATGAATACTTGTGCGTGAGGTTTTAGGGCCGTTTCCAATAGAATTAAGTACTCTTTAGCTAAATACATAACATGGGCCTGCTGTAGTCCTCCTTTTCTCCATAGCTAGCAGGGGAACAGTCGTTCTGTACACCTATCCCCTGACGCTATGCCTGCGGCATATGCCTACAGTAGCTTCAGTTGGCTGGGTTATAAGATTTGTACTTTTCACTGATTTTACCCTAGGCCTTCCTCGGAAGGCAGAGTCTAGATTTAGTTTTGCAATGGCAACTTGGTCAAGACAGGTTCCCGGGGCTTGTAAGTGTGAGGAGGAGGGGCTGCCTTTGGGGAGTGACTCAGGCCCTCTGGTATGAAGATATGAAACTCTGGCTCCCGTCCATGCACCTGCTGGATGCCACACCTGCAGTCAGCACCTGAGCCCCACTCAGACACAAAAACCAGACCGAAGGCAGATGGGGCTCCCTTCGAAAGGGGTGCAGCAGAACAGGGAACTCCTGATTATTTTAGTGCAGCACCACTGCAAATTATAGCTCACCGTTCCAGTGTTGGTACAGGAAAACGTCTTAGATTTTTTCTTATGGGTGCAGTGCCCGGGCTTGCTCAAGATACTGTTAGAGTCCTGAGAGAATTTCGCTTTCCTAACGAGTTTCTCTTGTGAACAGTCCTCCTTAAAAAATGGGGAGTCCAGTCCACAGGGATTTTTGTCTAGTAACTCTGCAGAGGGGAGGAGGTCACCAGACCCGGGTTCTGATCCTGGCCCCACAAGTATGCTACGGTGAAACTTTGGTCAAATGAGTTATCATTAGCTATCTGTTCTGGGCTTAAAGCTTCTCCAGTTGTAAAATAGAATCAATCACATCTGCCTCTATTTCCTCACAGAGCGGCTGAGAAGGACAAATAAGATAACGGAAGTGAAAGAGGTTTTGTCTCCTTAGAAGAAAAGCTGAGAAACTAAAGGTAACAGAATTATTGTTCTTGCTATTCTATGTCTTTCATCCCTTGTCTTCTCTTGCTGTTGCCTCCAGCAAAGTCTTTGGAAAGTTGTGATTTACTCAATAGGCAATACGCTGTTCTTCTGGGTATTTTGTGTACCAGTTAACATTGTAGCTGTTGGGAAGGATACAGAGGGAAATCACGCACCCAACCCGTGATCTCTAAGATCTTCCATTTCTTGCTTAACCTAGCAGAGTGATTTCTGCCTTGGTATTTAGAAGCTTAGAAGACAAAATTTAACTTCTCTCTCTCTCTTTCTCTTTCTTTCTCTGGCTCTGTCTCCCTCTCTGCATTGTAACTGCAGACTTCTGTCCCTGGAGCATGTATTCTAGATTGAAGGCATGGGTGTGGGGGGGTACAAAGCACTGGGGTAAATAAAGAAATTTCCCTCTCACTACCACAAATACAAAGTATCTGACCCTTGAATGATGGTTTCTTTCGGAGGTCCCTCCTTAGTTTCATCCTTCCTGTTCCGCCTCCTGCCATGCCTGTTCTAACCCACTCTTTGACCTTACCTGTTATCTGAATGCTAATGTCTCCAGAAGATCTATCTCATCCTATCTTCGGCTCCTCCCTTTCCAACTTCCTCAACATCAAGTTGGTTATCAGATGTCTCCTATTCAGCACCTTGGTCTTTTCCTCTGGGAAGCTTTGCTGGGGGGGTGGGCGCAGAGTTTTTGGCCGGGTCCTCTGCTTTGCCAGAGCTTCTGGCTGGATTGGGCCCCCCTCTGCTTGACTGGGAGCTTCTTGAGGACTGATCTCTGGTTTCTTTCTTTCTTCTTTTTTTTTTTCCATCCACCCTAGGGCCTAGACAGTGCATGGCTACTGCAAACACTCAATAAATGTTTGTGGAAACTACATGGTGTGTGTGTGACTGTTCTGCAGTTGAGCTGTGTACAAAGTCCAGGGCACCATCAAGGAGAGAGAATTAATTTTCCATATTGAGCAGAGTTGGGGGCAGAGGCAAGATGGAGGAGGCTTCGAGAAAAACCTGAAGGGCAAGGTGGCAAGTGGACCTGGCCTCTTATGAGAGCTCTGACTAAGCAGCCCAGGAAAGAAGTGCCTTGTGGTGTCTGCGCTTGCTAAGCCTGTTGCCTTCTCTGTTCAGCACTGAATGACTCTTACGGTTGAGTCTGCAAATAAACCTTTGTCTATAACACGTTGACCATTTCAGACCGGTGCCACTTAACTCATATAATATTAAACAGAGCTGACCTTAAATGTGCCACCTTAACTGTGGCCGAAAATAGAGGTACACACACAGGCTCATTGGTCATGTATGCTTAGTTCTATACAGAAAGATACCCTTTAAAATAGAGGGAAGATTGGTATCTGAAAACTAACAGATTTAATTCTCAGAATGTAGCAGGCTGGGTCACCAGAACTGAATGTCTTCAAGCTGACTGTCAGATCTTTCCAAGGGCAAAAATGAAACATGATATAAGCCATTACAGGCCATGAACCTGTTCTCACCCACCTGATGCTTTTACTAATTAGCTTCTTGGCCGGGTGGCAATTTGGGGCAAGTGCATGCAAGCTGGATTCACAGGGGAGCCCACATTCCACTCTGCCATTTCGCAAGTCGCTGGGATACTACAGTGCTTCTCTTGGCTTCTTTCCCTCCCAGGAGTCCTGCTCTACCCTGGTGGAAAAATGGGAGAGGAGAACTCTTCATTAAATGAAGGCGAGATTTCGTGGGGCTTTGGTGTTTTGCTGCTTTTATTTCTTTAGTGGATTGTCTAAAAAACATTCCTGCACCTTGACCCATTAATTTCACTTGTGGGATTCTGTCATTAGGAAAACAATCCAAAATATTGAAAAAGGCTATGTCTTAAAGATGTTTTTGTAACATTATTTAGACTAGCACAAAATTGAAAGCAATTTAAATGTCTTAATAAGTAGAGAATGGGTAAGTGAATCTTGATACACTCCTGCCACAGACTATTACACAGTCATTGGGATGTTTTTATGAAGTCTACACCACAGTCTGTCTATACTATGGAGAAAGTGCTTATGAGAAAGTGAAATGTAGGATCTGACATTATATATATGTCAATATTTCATGACTTTGTAAAAACACAAATGCACAGAGAAATAAAAGAAATAATCTGTACCGGTAACAACGTTTAGGTTGAGGTGCTGGGACCTTGGGCAATTTTTTTTCCTCTTCATTATAAATATTTTCATGCTGTGTTTATATTACTTATAAAAGTAGGAACAAAAATAAAAGTGAGTAGTGTAGCATCAAAGATAGGAAAATGGTAAAGCAGGCAGCTTCTAGGTATATTCCTGAACTTGTCTCAGTTTATGCTCAGTCTGATTTCATGGACTGCGTATCGTTTTTCTGAAGTAAGGAGACATGGGATGTCATGACGGGCCTCTTCCTCCCTTGAAATGGGTGTGTATGGTGGGAGGTGGTGTGGTGGCAACAGGATTCTTCTTGTTACTCAGTACATCATTGCTCATGTACACTTCAGGGTTAATTACCTCGGTTGCCTGTTAACATGTTCAAGTTAATTGCTTTAGAGTACAGAAAAGTAAAACTGGGATCCAGTTGGCCGCATCTTTGAGTTAACCATCTCAGAAACAGATACCTGACACTGTCAGTATGATTTGGAAATGCCAAGGCCTTGCTGTGGTTCTAAAAATAATCTTCCAACATAATCTAGATAGCGGTAGGGCTCGAAGCAAAGAGGTGGGACCAACTCAAAGCCTTTTCTTAGTGCTGGACTGACGTAAGGGCAAGTTCCAAGTTGGTTTGATGTTGGCAGGACCAAGAACGGAGGCCTGGAGACATTGATCAGTGGAGGTTCATGTTACTCTCTGACCCACCTACAAATCTTGGCCTAAAGAAGGAAGATTTTGCAAGGTCCTTCTGCCATGCTTCTAGCTACACACATCTCTCTCTCTTAACTCTGAATATTTCCTCCTGCTGTTAACATTTGGCTTCTGATGGAATTGGAACATGGTGGTAGCATTGAGCCAGGTTTATAGTCTCTTAAAACCAGAGTCAATTCAATTCAGTAAATGTTTATTAGGCATCTTCTATGTACAAACTAATATGCTAGATAATATATTACAGTGGAAGGACTGTTGCCCTGGGAGTCATAAAACCTGCATTCTGGCCCAGGCACTGACCGTTGTTAAGCTCTGGCACCTTCATATACAGAAAGAGGGGGTTGGACCACTAGATGGTCTCCTTAGAGTCTTTTTAGTTCTGACCTTCACTGATCTGAGAACCCCTGCACAAAGACTGAGTTGCAAATAAAGGTTTTAAAGAAAACTTTAATTCATAAAATTGCTATAGTCTTCTAGAAAAAAAGGCCACTTTGAAATAATAATAGTAATAGATTTTATTGAGCCTTTACTTTGTGCCAGGCTCTGTGCTTAGCACTTTACATGAATTACCTCCCTTAATCTTTATAACAACACTGGATGAGGTATGAGCACTGTTATCCCTATCTTGAAGATGATGAAATGAGATGTAAGGAGGTCAAAAGAAATGTATGAGGCCAGCTAATAAGCCATAGATCCAGGATTTGAACTTAAACAGTGTGAATCTAGGCCCAGGCCCTTAACCATAGACCTTACACTGCTTGCCTGTCACACATTGAAAGGTTAGAGATAACCTGCAAAGGGATTATTATTTCTTACCTTCCAGAGGAAGTGAATTAGCATCCTGGGTGGCAAGACTGTCAAGCAAGGTGTTCTCTAGGACACTTCAGGCCAAAACCTGGACCAACCTGAGAAGACGTGAGAGAATTCAGAAGGCTGTTTTGCCTCTTTCTGTGGGAGGCTTTGCGCGCATGCATGCATGTGTGTTTTCTGCACAAATATATATGCACGTAGATATGTAGACATAGGGGAAACTTTGAACTGGCTTCTTTCCATTTAGCTCAAAGTCATTGTAGGGAAAAAGTTGATGGAGATTTATCAGAGAAACAGGTTACCTAGACTTAAGTTCTTCATCTTGGTTGGCAGAGTGAGGGTTGAGGGAAGATTAGGAAGAGGAGGCAGAAGGGATAAAAAGAAGATCTTCCAGGCATATTTCACATTTCTTCAAAGGGCAGGAATTTGGTCTATCCTGGCCAGCTTGTAACACTGATATTTCTGGGACGTAGCTTGAGAAACATCCGGGCTCTCACTCATGTGATTTGGTTTAACCAGAACTGGGTTTGACTGAGGTATACTGGGAGAGGCCCATGATTGCAGGTATAGTTAAGAATTTAGATTGGCCTTGCTGCCCTGTTGTTGTTACAGAAGAGATGAATATATAGATTCAAAATGTATTTTTAAGAGAGAACCATTGGAAAGCCTTTCTTCCCATATCAAATGCCCTCGGAGACTGTCTGTTTGTCCAGGGGAAACAAGGTTATTTTATTGATTGAAGATGACGTCAGAACCCTGGCAGTGGCGGGATTAAAGCTGTGGGCAGACTGAAGGTTGTGGAGTTCATACTATTTTACTTCTTGGCATGAGACAAGGCATCTTTTCCCTTCCTTTCTCTAATAAATGGAGTAGTGTTTTCCTTCTTATGTGACTCTTAACATGTAGACAAACATAAGTTCTTGAAGAAAAAAAATCAGTATACTGGAGAGGATTCAGCAAAGCTTTTTTCTTAGGCTGATTTCTTTTCCTCTTTTAGACAGAAACGAAAAAAGCCAGGGCCCTGGGGTGGTGGGGAGGGACAATCTGTGTTCAGTTGACATTGAGTGATTTGGGTTTTGAAAAGGATATGGACAAGAGGGGACAAAATTAAGGGAAGAGAGTAAGATTTTGGGCAAGGAAAGTTTTCTTTGTGAGAAGCTAGGTATGAGGAGCAAGGCAGTCAAAATTGGCATGAAGAATCGAAATTGTCCTGGAAAATAATTGTATGGTGCTTTCTCGCCAGGGGCTCAAGTTTAAAGGCCTCAGGCTGTTTTCTGCATGTTTTGGTTGAAAAACAAAGACAACTGTTTTGTTCAGAATCACACAATAGAAGCACGGTGGTTATTTACCACACTCTGTTAATAGTCCAGCTTTGATTCCAACTAGAAGTTGTTCCTCTGCTTTGAAATTAGGGAAGATACCCTAAAATAATTACCGTGCAGATTGGAGATGATTTTCCTTTTGATTGAGATTATATGTTGGGCCAAAACAAGATTGAAAGACAAATTTCCGTGTTTGCTCACTCCGTATCTCTTCACTTTATTTTTGGCAACATTGCAAGGAAATAACGTTAAATTAATCACTGTGTGGTTTTGTGGATTTTTTTTTAACTTGGATGTTTTGGACAGGCTCCCAAAATACAGAGACGCTGTGGGCTTCCTTTGCATTGCCTTGCTCTTCAAATGGCATCTCTGATGTGGATTAAAGCCTTTCGTTTAAGTGACATGAGTGAGTCATGGTGAGTCTGGGACAGAAAATAGGAGTGTGGATCATGTGCATCTCACCTAAACACAAATTCCTCGGTTTCATAACCATTTTGCTTGGCCCTACTGGGCTTGTCAGAGGGCCAGCGCAGTAATTAGAAAGGAAGACTATGGCAGATCCATACCTGGAGGGTGTTTGCATCTAGCCTCTTAACCGTGTGAGTCTAGGAGTTTACTTCTGGGGAGATGCCCTGGGCAGCGCCGTGGAAATGCTGAGAAAGCAAGTGGAGGGAGGCATCTTGTCCTCAGAGAGAAGAGTTGCTACTGTGTGTTGAGAAGAACAATCACCTTTGCTTCTCCAGTAAGAATAGATGGGCCTGCAATTAGATTGTAAGCTCTGTGAGGGCAGGAACCAGATGTTGTGTGTCTTTTGTATCCTTCCTTGTGCCTAGCACAAGGCTGGCGATTATCTGGAATAGCCAGCATGCAATAAATACTTAAATGACTTGGTGGAAAAGAAGTTTTGGTTTCCCTCTGTCCATCTGAGGTGTGGCACTTAAATCGGGAGCTTTATGGAGTATTCCCCCCCCCCTTTTTTTTAACCTAAAACCTGCCTTCTGATCCTGGCCTTCCCTCCCAGGATGTGGGGAGTGAGCCTGACTCATGTGCCCTGCTACTGGTGGCAGTTTCAAGGTCGCACCCTACAGGTGACGTTGGTTATGTCTTTTGTCCTCATCCCCCATTTCAACTCAGAGTGGAAGCAGCAACATTTGGGGGCTGCGAGGCTAGAACAGAGCAATCTTTTCTGGTCCCAGACCTGAACGTTTCCATCCTCTGGAAACTGGGTGACCTCCTGAACACAGCTGTTGGTAGTGAGGTTTCTTTTTGTCCTAATGGAAATGGATTCTGCCACTCACGTAAAAGGCAAACACACGGAGGAGAAGTCATTCCCTTGGAAAGACTGGTTTGGTGAACTGTTGGCCGTTGGTGGCAAAATAGAAACGACGTTTTTATTTCTCCCTCCCTCCCCCTCCTGAACATTTCAGAGTGACCAGTGGTTGGACTCTTGGCGGCGCTTACCCTGAACCTGAGTGTTAGGGGAGAGGGAATCTGCCGTTGCGGTTTCTGGAGCTGCTCATAAGCAAGAATTCCCTATCCTGATCAAGGCTTTAAGCCTAAAAGAAAGCAGAAATAGGTATGGATCATTCGTGTGTGTGAGTGTGTGTGTGAGTGCACGCACATGTCTTTGTGTGCTCCTGTGCATGTGCGTGAGCCTGTGTGTGTGCAGGGTGGGGCGGGTGTGGACTGGGAGGGGGTGGTGTACTTTCAGGGTCCTGGGCCGCTCAATGTCAGGGTTTCCCTGCCTTGTAGGATGGGTTTGCAAGTGATTGTGATTCAATCATACAGGCTCCCATTCCCATTTTCTTGAGAGAGGAAGGTTAGCTTGGTAGTCATCTTCCAGTTTAAAGGCACCAAAGGACATTTACACGTTATGCTTGTCAGCCTATCAGAAAACCCCAGTCTGACAGTTTAAATACAGGAGTCCCAGGTGGTGACTGGGAGGGAGGGAAAGGGCAAGGCTGCTTGGCCCTTTGGTGCACCCTTCTTCAGAGAATATGATGAGTGGGATTTAAAAAGGGCCTTTGGAAGGTTAACTGTGGGGTCAACTTGTCCCTAGAACAATTTGAGACCAGGTAGCAGTAATCATGCAAGAAGTGCAAAAAAGAAGAGAAGATGACCTTTTGCTATCTACCATATACACCTTCTGTCCATTCCCTACACAACTAAAGGAAAGGGGTTATGTTTCCAGAGAGATTGGAGGCTGTTCACTATCATAGAAATCAGAGCCTGGGAGCCGGGATTCCAGAATTCTCATCTAAGAACCCGAGGCTGGCTAGGTTGACCTTTATTGTGACTTTTTCTGTGACATTATCCCCATGCTCCAACACCGCTTAAGATCCTTAGAGTAAAACTTTTATTACTGAACATGAATACTGAATTGCAATACTTCACATGACAGATTCTGTCCAAAGATTTTATGAGCCTCTGATGAATTTGTGTGTCCTATACCATGCAGAGAGAAAGAGAAAGAGAAGGAGAGAGGGGTCATCTACGACTAATTTCTTGGGCAGGAAAATCGAAGACAAGATAATAGAAATCAGTTGCTTAGGTTATCCTGTAAATCCACCATCATGATTAGAATTTGAATCTTGAGTTGTCTTACCACCGACACCTGTTTCACTCAACCTATGTTTCTTCTTTAAGAAGAATTAGTGGTGGTGGTGGTGGAGGGGGAGGGATACGGTAATCGGACCCTTTCTAGAAGGGTGACCTTTTTATTTTTCAATTTCTAAATGCTGTCAGAGGCACACTTCAAATGAAAGAGGGCTTTCCATTTAAGCTCCTCCTAGCCAAGAACAACAGCAAAAAAACTCACAAAAAAACCCCCAGAACTCAATGATTATTCCTGGATGGCTGAAAGAGAAACTTTGTCAGTAGCAGTTATCTCAAGCCCTTCTCTTACTAAGCCAAAGAGAATCCAAAATGGACAATACAAAAAGGACTTTTTTAAAAAAGGCTATCTTTCAGAGTTTTATGAGATCAGAGAAAATGATTTGCATCAAGTGGGGATCATTTCCACTAAGTGCAAGCCAAGCTCTCTTCACCTCTTATTTATTTTAATTATTATTTGGCATTTTGTAGCTCCCTTCACATGATGACTTGCTTTACAGATCCTGCCTGTGGGGTAAATTCTCCCTACTGGCCTGTCCCCAGTGTCACGGCCTTAAGAGTTGGATTTTTCATTTAAATAGAATACAGAGAGATGAACTTTCTGAGTAAGGACCTAAGAAAATTGCCCTCTCTGGTCACCCTACCTGACTGCTCCAGGTCTCCCCAGTTCTCTTAGAAGTTAAGTCAAGATTGTATATTTAAGCCGTGCTAAAAGCCAAAGAGGAAACAGTGAGGTCTTATGCCCCCATGTTCCTCATCATATCAATGCTAGAGCCAGGAGTCACCAATTAACCTATTAATTCTAAATTGAATTCTCTCCTTTGTCTCTGGAGTGGAATCCTCACCCCCAAATACCATTTTCTTTCCCTTTAGAAGAAATGATTTATCCATCAACTGGGTGTTAAGCTTACTGTTTCCCCTTCCCAGGTCAAGGGCAGCCCAGGTGCCCAATTTCTCTCTCTCTTCACAAGGCACCACAAGCAATAGAGATGAGAAATTCTGAAGAACAGCCAAGTGGAGGAACCACAGTGTTGCAGCGTCTGCTACAAGAGCAGCTTCGCTATGGCAATCCTAATGAGAATCGCAACCTGCTTGCCATACACCAGCAAGCCACAGGGAATGGCCCTCCTTTCCCCAGTAGCAGTGGGAACCCAGGCCCTCAGAATGATGTGTTGAGTCCCCAAGATCACCACCAACAGCTTGTGGCTCATGCTGCTCGACAAGAACCCCAGGGGCAGGAAATCCAGACAGAAAACATCATCATGGAGAAGCAGCTTTCCCCTAGAATGCAGAATAATGAAGAACTCCCAACCTATGAAGAAGCCAAGGTCCAGTCCCAGTACTTTCGGGGCCAACAGCATGCCAGTGTTGGAGCTGCCTTCTATGTCACCGGAGTCACCAACCAGAAGATGAGGACCGAGGGACGCCCATCAGTTCAGCGACTCAATCCTGGGAAGATGCACCAGGATGAAGGACTCAGAGACCTTAAGCAAGGACATGTCCGCTCCTTGAGTGAACGACTAATGCAGATGTCACTGGCCACCAGTGGAGTTAAGGCCCATCCACCTGTTACCAGCGCTCCCCTCTCCCCACCACAACCCAGTGACCTCTACAAGACTCCCACAAGTTCCAGTGAATTCTACAAGGCCCAGGGGCCACCTCCCAGCCAGCATAGCCTGAAGGGCATGGAACACCGAGGTCCCCCACCAGAGTATCCCTTCAAGGGCATGCCACCCCAGTCTGTAGTGTGCAAGCCCCAAGAGCCAGGGCACTTCTATAGTGAGCATCGTCTGAACCAGCCAGGGAGAACAGAGGGGCAACTGATGAGGTATCAGCATCCCCCTGAGTATGGAGCAGCCAGGTAAGAGAGTTCCCTTTCTGTCATTTCCTGGCATTCCCAACCAGCTTCTGCTGTGTGTTGGGAATCTGAAGGGAAGGAATGGGCAGGTGTTTGGTATAACAAACTCTGCAATGCATGGCTGGCCTCTGGCTTAGTAAATTTCCCGCCAACCTGGATTTCTAGCCTCTTCAGCCATAATTAGTGCTGTATTAACATTCTCTTGACCTTATAGGTTGAGCATGGCCCCAACTGCCTAATGGATGAACAGGAGCGCAAGTCTTGATTTCTACAGCTACACGCTGTCCTGTCTCCTGGGATTGTGAAGGAAGGGTCAGTGTTGGCTCTTCTTCTGAGTTGTTAAGCCCTTCCTGGAGGAGCAGAAGCAAATTATATTGGACTTCAATCTGGAATAACCTATCGCTTTCAGTTATTCCCTTCCATAGTACTCTCATCACTTCCTTTTAGGAACAAATCTTTCTGCAGAATTCCTATGATTCTCTTGGACACGAAACAAACACCTAGATATTATTGTGGGGGGAACTGGATATGTGCAGGTTCAGAATGTTACTTGCCTTTGATGTCCTTGCAGTTCATGAACTTTGGACTGCTTCATCTTTCTTCCTTAGAGCGTTGTTAGTTGCCTGTCACGTTTTTGTGACATCTATGCGACATCATGTCACATAGAACTTTTGGTCAGTTGCCAAAATGCGGAAAGAATCATATTCCCATGATTTCTTTACCACGTGTCATTAGTTCAGGAGGACTGTTTCATATTATCCAGTTATTCCTAAATGTACATTTGCATTATTCATTGGCCCATTGTCCCCCATCGCTGTGTCAACTGGACCTTAGGATGCCGTGATTCTGTTTGTCGTTTCTTTTGTTACTGTTTGGGCCATGTCTCTGATTGGTAGGAGTTCAGCATATGGGGCAGAGGGGGAGGTTTTGACCATGGCCAACAATGATGGCAGTTTTGCGTGGCATTCCTGACCTGTTACCATGGGCAATTATGGGTGACCGTGAGGTTTGAAGTCCCTGGACCTAGGGGGGCCCTTTCCCAGGTTAGGCCTGTGATCTCTTTGATGTCTAACTCTTCGCCTCGTATCTCCTCACTTACTTGGGAAAGAGCCGCTTGGCTTGAAGTTCATTGGGTGACTCAAGAGAGAAGGCAGTCAGGGGGTCAACTAGGGTGAAGGTAAGAGAATGCACCTGGCATTTCCTGTTACTTCATTTTTTTCCCCCCACCAGGTTCTGTTTTATAGCTAGAAGCAATTCACTTTGGACTCCACCCATAACTTGGCCAGTTTAGGACTTTTTTTCTTCTTAACCCAGGTTGATATCCTAACCTTTTTCAACCCCTAATGTACAGCTTTCAAAGGGCAGGAGCTTAAGTTCTGATAAGTGTCTTTTTTTTTATTATTTGACAGAGAGAGATCACAAGTAGGCAGAAAGAGAGGGAAGCAGGCTCCCTGCCAAGCAGAGAGCCCGATGCGGGACTCGATCCCAGGACCCTGAGATCATGACCTGAGCCGAAGGCAGCGGCTTAACCCACTGAGCCACCCAGGCGCCCCTAGTTCTGATAAGTGTCTTAGAACAGGATATGGGGTAACAGACAGGGCCCTTCCCATTTAAATGAGAGCAAGAACCCGATTCCCATCTGCCCCATGAAACGGAAGACCCAGGGAGGGGTTGGTCAGTTGGACTGCTTAGCTTAGTGGAAACCCATCCAAGCCAGCAAAATGTCAATGAAGCTGGGGATTTTTGTTTTGCTCTTCCCTTCAGCACGGAAGAGTCTGTGGGACTCTGTCCCTTATGTGGAAGGACTGACGTCTGTTGCCTTGTGGGAGGGGGAGTATGTTGGCTGGGGTGTGGAGCAGAATCCAAAGCCCCGCTTAGTGCAAGGCCCGCCTTCCCAGGAAAGCTATTTTCAGAACTCATTCACCAGTATTGTTTGTGATCTGAAATGACTCCCACAGTGTTTGAAGCTAGATGGAAAAGCCCTTTGATCTGCCTAAATAAATAATAAGGAGCCCAAAGAGATTTTTTTTTCTTCCCTTACTGATTAAGCCACCAGAGAAATTTAGCTGCGTATATTTCACAGGAAGATACTTGTAGCTTCTCTTCCCTCTGATGTTATCTGTAGAGCTATCTCCCTATCCCCAGAAGCAGTAGAGCCCATGCTGATTCCCCTCTCTTGAGCAGAATTTTAATACACAGGTTAGCTCTGTAGTTTTTTCCCCCCTCTATAGGAGAGGAACAGGGTACTTGATATGCTTGGTGAATAATCAGACCTAAAATGGTCCTCATCAGAAGATGCTCTGTGTGAAGTTTGGGTCTGCATCAGACAAATTCTGTCAATAAAATTTCTTTAGGACCTGGGGTGAGGGAGTGGCACCTATTGACAAATTACTGGTAAGGGGAAGTAGTTGAACCGCTTTCCAGAAATGGACTGCTTTTAGGTGGTGACGCATTTTTCCTCCTTTATTTCCTTGAACCAACTTGCTAGACACTTTGTGAGTACCTTTCCAAGTAACTGCCGCTAACATCAATTAGACGATGAAATTCTTAGTTCTTAATCCATAAATTACAGATCAAGAATGCACAGCAAACTCTTTGAACAAATTGCTGTTCAGAAAACCTTTGTTTGCTTTTAGAGGTGCAGTGAAAGGCTAGAGATTGGCTGTTAGAATTAACAAAATGTTACAAACAATTTTTTTTTATTACTTCATCTTCCCTGTGCCCTCCTCCCCACTTGAAAAATAAATATCCCGAATGCCCAGAACTCCAGATGGGAAACAAGGCCAAGCCATCTGAAGAATTAAAAAAATTTCTGAAGCTTTGTCTTTCTAAGTGCTGAGCCTTTTCTGCATCTGGGGTTTACACATTTATCAACTGCTTTTAAAAATTAAAACCTTTCTGTTTGTAAAGCAGCCACTTCCTTTCAGTTGTTGAAATCATGCCCAGATCTGAGGTTTCTTGAAATCCTTGCTTAGTGGAATCTAAGGGTGACCTAACTCTGTAGTTCAGAGCCGAGCTGGTTGTGCAAGAGAAACAATCAAGAATTTGCAGCCCTCTCCAGGATTCACAGATTCACGGTCACAGAGCCTGGGAAAGGCAGTTTCTGTGGGGAGAATAAATTGGGTTCCAGGCTGTTGGTGGCACCTGCTCTGGTGAGAGTGTGCATGTGTGGGTTTGCACACATTTGGGCCAGGATTGTGTGGGGTGTAGGGGTGTGGGGAGGGGGCGGGGTGTGTGTGTAACTGAGGAAGGCAGGGGCTCCCAGTGAGGTGGCAGGGTGGGAAGGTGCTGTGTCAGCTCCACGACCGGCTTTTGCTTTCCCTTTGTGTCCTCACAGGCCGTCTTCCGGAGGGAGTCCCTCCCTCCCCCGCTTTGGGGAAGGATGCTGAGTTTGGTCGTTGGTCTGTGCCCCGCGTTTAGGCCCTGTCCTCCCCTTTTCCACCCAGCCCCAGGGGCCCAGGTTGTCTTGGGAAGGAGCTGGATGAAGGGAGGGAAGGGCCTGGAGGCAGGTCAGGGCTTCCACGGGGAATCACGTGATTCTATTGTCTGCTGGCAACTTGTTGTTCCTGGTTAAAATGTCAGCGGGAAGCGATTCACACTGCGGTGCCGGTGCCGTTGAAGCACTTGGGGAGCGCGCCGCTCACCCAGCTGCCACCTGTATTATTACTGTCCTTACTATTACTCTTATTATTTCATCTTGAATGTACTTTTGCTTCCTCTGACATCCGCCCCCCACCCTCTTCTTCATCCCTGTCATGCCTCAGTTCCCTCCTCTCAGGGGAAACTTCACAGGAGTGTTAATACAGTCCTGCTTTTTTTGTGGTGGGTGGATGCTGGAGCCCAGATGGAGCTGGTTGGCTGGAGGGCTTTCTCTCCTTTTGTGACTGCCCAAGCCTTGCTTCATGTTTGCAAACCTGCCAGGGACGGACTGCCTTGGTTTTCCCAACATCATAGTGCGCTGAAATCTGCTTTCTTTCCCAGGCTGGGGAGCCCAAGAGGGGCAGCTACCTTGTCTCTCTTATCTCTGAGTAGCGCTCAGAGTCATGGCCAGAGCCATTGCTGTCCTGGGCTTATCTGACTCCAGAGACCTCTTCCTGGAGACCTTGTGGTCTCCTCCTTCCTGAGGCCCCTCGGAGGCCATGTACTGTCCAGGGCACGGAAGGGCCTATCAGCCTCCAGGCAGGAGGGAAGCCAGTGGCCAGTCTGAGAGAGAGGCTGGACTGCTGATGGGGCCCAGAGGAGCTGAGGGGAGGAAGCGCATTTCAGAACTGGGCATTCAGTCTTTAAAAGAGAATACCTCCCAGGCCTGGAATTTCCAAATCCTGACAACAAGGATGAAGATTAATTTGGCCATTTTTCCCTTTAATTTTCAGAGCTGGATTGGAGAATATGAAATTTAAGCCCCTCTCTTCTGCCCAAGAGATCCAAAAGCCTTAACAAATCCAGTACATAATATTTTAACTCTAGGGATATATAAAAATTTTAATAGTTCTTACTCAAAGAAGAGAGAGAGCACAGCGTCCATTTGACCCCTAAGGAAACTGAAGATCCACGGTACAGAAAATGGGTTAAGACTTCCCCAAATAAATTTATAAGTAGCTCCGAGGCTTTTGATTGGACAAGTGGTTTGAACATTTCCAAAGAAAGGTAATATACAGTAGCAACTTTCCAGGTGTAATAATGGGAATCGTGTAAATTCTTCTGTCCACAAAAAGGTTGCATGCCTTCTTCAGTATTCAGCAATTATTGATAGTGTTTTGTATATGGAATTGTAAGAATAGGAGTACGACAGAGGCATCCCTGGGACTGAGATACAGAACTGAAGGCTTGAGAACATTTGAGGGCTCTGGCAAGCATCTGGGTTATTGGGTAGCCATCAGCAAGTGTTTGGAATGACTTTGCAGCCATAAAAAAAATGACTTTGCAGCCTTACAGTGAGGATCTCTTGTTGGGATAGATATGTGAACAATAATGATAACTGAGATGTATGTGGGAGGGATGTGCTTTAGCTTCTGGAATGCCAGTTAAAAGTTAATTGCTCCTAGTGATTTGTCCCAGTTCCACCATGAATTCTGTGCAATGTAGTGCAAAGATTAAATGAATATCCCATAAGTAAAATCCCTAACAGGGTCAACCTATCTTACTGGAAGATAGATAAGGGACTCTTTGTAATTCCTGTAGAGCTCAAAAATGAGAGGAGCCCAGTATTTTTGTAATTCATCGGTGACCTCAGGAACAAAACAGGCTCATGCAGATTAAGTAACATGAGCAAGGTTACACAGCCAGTAGGCAGTAGAAAAGGTCTCAAAATTCTATTGGGATCCAAATCCCATGCTCTTAGCCATCTGTCTTCCCTGGATTGAGAAATATCAACTGTAGGACAAGCATCCACAGGATGTGGGAGTATATGAGGTTAGTTGGGCATGGGCTGGGAGGATGAACAAGCTTTTCGTCTTCAGACGAAATATTCTTGCTGATGGTGGAGATGGTGAAAGTGATCCATTTACATACTGTCCTTATTTCCCTTAATGGCTAACAGTCCAGTAGTAGGTACAGAAATGGGAGAGCCACATTAAACAATGTACCGAAGTTCTCTTTCTGGAACTTTCTATAAGAAATCGATTGGGGATCTGAACATCATTGTGTGGAAGTCAATGTATTATGGTAGTGGAAGGAGCAGAAAAATGGAATTTGGGCTTAGGGCACTACCCTGGCACTACCAATAAGTCATTCTGTAATATCTGACAGATTGCTTCCTCTCTCTTGGACTTCAGTTTCCTCGTTTGTCCAGTGACAGAGTGGGTTAAATTATTTCTTGAAGGCTTTTCCAGTACTTACATTTTGTGGTCAGGTCATCAAAAATAGTATGACAGTGTTGCCTGTAAATCCTCTCCAATTCTTGGTATCATCACTGCTAATAGACCTTACTCACTTATTAAGTGTAATCAACAATAATTATTTGGTGTCTCTAACATAAGGACCTAGACATCCTCAAGTAATTTTCTGTGAATATATGAATTATGATAGAGAGTTGCCAATAGCGAGAAGAGGACTAATTTTGACTGCAGTTTGCCATTTCCTTGTGGGCAAGTGGAACACATTTTCTGAACTTGACCCTTTACATGTGCTGACCACATACAGAATGTCAGAGGTTTTGTTTAAAATAATGATGTGAAAATTACCTTCTGGAAGACTCATGTATGTCACTCAGATTTTCACCAAGCGACCCTGGAGGTCACCTGGTTCTATCCTCCGTGGGATCACACCTCCATCAGTCACTCATGGGTCAGGCCTGGAAAGGGCTGTGGAGCTCTTTGCAGAGATTTCCGAGTCTAACCCTGCCTGCTCCTCGTTTTGCAGGTCTCCTTGGGGGCGGGGGGCGGGCCCCGGAAGCCGCCTCATCTCACTTTCTTGTGCTCTTCCCCCACCGTGCCACGGGAGAAAGCTTAACCTGAGCGTGTAAACCGTGTTTTCCAGGCCGGCGCAGGACATCTCATTACCACTGTCGGCCCGGAGCTCACGGCCTCACAGTCCTACTTCTTCCCTCACGTCTGGGGGTTCCTTGTCCTTGTTGCAGTCTCCGCCAGCCACGAGATTGTCTCCTGCCCAACACCCCTTGGTCCCAAACCAAGGAGACCACTCAGCTCACCTGCCTAGGCCTCAGCAGCATTTCCTCCCGACCCCGGCTCACCAGAGCGATCATTACCGGCTCCCTCAGCCCAGCCTGAGTCAGCCACAGCAGCAGCACCATCACCATCACCAGCAGCAGGCCGGCGAACCCTATTCAGCTATGCCTCGGGCTCAGCAGTCCTCCGCTTCCTACCAGCCAATGCCAGCAGACCCATTTGCCATCGTTTCCCGAGCCCAGCAGATGGTTGAGATCCTGTCAGATGAGAACCGGAACTTGCGGCAGGAACTGGAAGGATGCTACGAGAAGGTGGCGAGGCTGCAGAAGGTGAGGCCTCCGTTTCGGGCTAGCAGAGTCTTCTCTCAATCACATGTTGCCTAGAGATGTACGTCTCCATTTGGTGGTGCCTGGGTGACTTATACTCGGGTCTTCTGGAGTCTTGTATCTAAAGGTTAGATATGGACCAAACTGGAAAAAAAGCCTTCTGCCTGTCTTCCTAGCAGGAGTCACATTTTACATTTATGTGGGGGAGAAAAGAACATATTTGTACAGTTCTCCCAGATACCATAGCCCTAAGGAAAACGTAATTGTTTTCTAGAAGGCCGAGAAACTTCTTCATAGGGTCAAGAACACTGGCAATGCCTATGTAGGTGAGGGTCCTACCAGCCTAAAGACCTTTTGTCTTGATTATATTTTCCCTCGTAACTGAATTTGGATCTTAAATGTAAAACCGTAATTCCCACAAACATCTCACCACTGAAGTTAGATCGTGCTCTGCCTTGTTCTGGAAAGGGCTTAGAACACTTTTCCAAGTGGGAGTTCTCATAGTGACTCTTTTTCAACACCTCTTCCTTTGCCTCTTCTTTGCTTTGGTTTTTCCCTGCAGCTCACATTCAACATCTGCTGTCTTTCTCTGGTGTGTGTGGGGGGCAGAAGGGGCTTAGCACCACAGCTGGGTGACAGGTGACAGCCCTAGGCTGAGGAAGTAGAAAAAGGAGTGTATGTCCCATAGAGTTCACATTCTTCCCTGGGCCCCTCTTGTCTCCTCCAGCTGGGACTTTAGCTCTTGAGTGCCCTAACCTAGGAACCTTAGCGCTTGGCTTCCAGTGGCTGTCCCTGAATAGGGTTATACCTTTGGCAGCCTCTTTGCACCTTTTGTCATTGTGGATCTCATGTGGTTTGATCTCCCAACAATGTGAACTGTTCGGGGAGGTGAGGGTGAAGGTGTGGGAGGGAGGGGACATTGCCCGGTTTTGTTCAGCAACTCTGTCCTTAGGAGACACCCAGGAGTGGAAATTTCAGGGGCCTGAATGAAACTGAGAATTTGTAAACACCAGATCTGGGTCCTAAAGTAGAGGAGGGCTTACTGTCAGCTGAGTATTTTTATGTAACAGAAACACCCCCCTCACAGTGTCCCCAAATCTTGGGCTTCAGAGAGGACTGTTTCTCTGTGGCTTTACCCCCAGTTTTCCATTTTCTGCCTCCTCTCATTTAACTATATGCCCCACCCCCAGATCACATCGGTGCAACAAATTAATCCTACTCACGCACTAAAAGCAGCCTGGCCGGGTTTGGCTGATTGTGTTTAACTGTTGACACCCCTCCCCAGACTCTATTCAGGGTGGCCCCAGCCCCATCTTTGATGCAGTAATCAGGAAGGTGGGTGACAGGGAAGAGGAGTGGAACAGGATTTGTGGCATTGTTAGTTGTTGCTTGTTCCCTAGCGAGGGCCAAGATGCCTTCACCAAGTGTAACTGAGTGCTGGGGAAAGTGAAGGCTGACCCGATGCTACAGTGGATTAGAGGCCTAAGTGGGGTTAGAAGAGGAAAAGGGAGCTATGGGAGATACCAGCTGGTGCTAGAAAAAAATACGGAGGCCCGAGGCTCATGAGGGGAATAATGAGACAAAAACCCACCACCACATCCCTCTTCCTTGCCCCCACCATCCCCAACCAAACCAGTGGGTCTGCCTTTCTATGACTTCTTTTCCTGGAAGAGCCTGTTGACAGATGTAAAACTCGCCCTTTTGGGGGGTACAGTATTTCTACACGGGGCAGGGAAGAGAAAGATTGGTACAGATCTCGAAATAGTACTCTGAACAAGGTGAGCAGAGGGCCTGCTTTCCAGGTGTGGCATTCATTCTGTGGGGAACTGGAAAGCCTTGCCATCCGTCTAAAGGCTGCCCAGTTCAGACTAATACCAAGACTGCTCTTTCAAATGGAAATGTTTATTTTCTGTACCCTGCACTTGAATTTCATGCAAAAGCTTTATCAGGCCCAGGCCTTGCAGATCTTGTCTCTAAATGCCATTCACTACCAGTTTTCACCTTCTGTGCTGCTATCTTGGTGCCATCTGCAAGGAAAAAAACACTCTGGAGCCTGCTCTTTTCTGTGGCATAAGCCTCATTTGTTTGCAGGCAGTCCTGCCTTGGGCATAATTTTGGAGCTGGGCAGGTGGAATCTGAGTTGTTTGGTAACCCCACCTTTCCTCCAGTCTCCCACTGGGGACCTGATAGTTCTCCCCATAAAGTACCCTGAGCTTTGTTAAGGAGGATAGTGGGAAACTGAGAAGGAATGCAGAATGGTTGCAGGAGTCAAATTCAATTTGCAAATTGCTGAATAGGCCATGGGGTTTATTTATCTTATACAAATTATATGCAAATATCTCTGTAGTTATTTCATGTGCAATGAAGCTGTACTGGTTACAGAAAGACTCTGGAGTCTAATTTCTTAGTTTCTTCTTGATTCGGGCTGATTTGGGGCAAGACCCTTTCCCTTCGAGGTTTTGTGTGTATGTTTTTTTTCTCCCCCCATTTTACAAGATTTACAGTGGTATCATAAAACATAACTCTGATCGTGAATTTCCATTCAAAAATCTGTACTGGTTTCCCACTGACTATGGGATAAAGTCCAAATACCTGGCATTAAAGCCCTTTTATGATCTGACTCCAGTCTATCTTTACAGCCAGATCTCACCAGCTTCCCTCTGTGTACCCCACAGAGTCTAGCCAAATGAGACTACTGGTCATTCTGGGAATGCATTCGCTCACTCAGAATAGAATACCCCTCCCCTCACCTCTGCTCATTGAAATCTGACCTAGCTTTTAGGATCTGACTCAAAATGCCACCTCCTGCCTGAAATTGGTCTCCTGTCCCCTTACCCCAACCAGGAGTTAACCTCTTCCTCCCTATACTTTCGTAGCACTTACTTCTACTGCTCTGACTAAGGCATCCTTCTCTTTATTCTTTTACTTGATTAGATTGAAAGCTCCTTGAAGGGAAACAGTAATGTCCTCATTCATGCCTACACACCCCATGGGTATTTACAATTTTTTTTTTAAATTTTTTTAATTTATCTGACAGAGATCACAAGTAGGCAGAGAGGCAGGCAGAGAGAGGGGGAAGCAGGCTCCTCGCTGAGCAGAGAGCCTGATGCGGGACCCGATTCCAGAACCGAATGCCAGGACCCAATCCCAGGACCCAATCCCAGGACCCTGGGACCATTACCCGAGCCGATGACAGAGGCTTTAAAACACTGAGCCACCTAGGCACCCCCGCCCGCACGGGTATTTTAAAGAGCTCTGTAAATATTTAGCCCTTGGTAAACGTTTGCTAGAGTGAACTGAACCACTGGATAAGGCCGAGGTTTCGAGTTTTTGAGTTTTTAGGCTTTGCCTCTGCCACTAACTTGATCTCAGAAAGGTCCGTTTCACTTTTCCCTGTGCTAAAATGGGGAGCAGTGTCCCTGTGAAGGCAGATAGCAGGGCAAATAGAAATAAACATGTGAAAGCCCTCTGGACACTCTGAAATAATGTTATTGACATACTGTATACATTATTAATCATATTTTCAAAATTAAGAAAATTCTTGTGCAGAAATTAAAATCATTTATAAATGTACTTATGAAATTTATTTTCTCCTACCACCTTCTCTGAAGGTAGAAACCATATTTGTTTTGAACCTGAGGGACTCTCATGACCCTGTGAGTTGGTTGCTGAGCTAGCTGAACATTGACTTTAGAAATCCTTCTGGGGGCGCCTGGGGAGCTCAGTTGGTTTAAGCGACCGACTCTTGGTTTAGGCTGAGGTCCTGATCTCAAGAGTTCTGGGATTAAGCCCCCTGCCCCGTGGGGCTCCATGCTCAGTGCAGCATCTCCTTGAGATTTACTCTCCCTCAGCCCCTCCCCTGACCCCGTGCAAGCGCAATAGATCTCTCTCAAGTTAAATAAATAAATCTTTTTTTTTTTTTTAAGAAATTCTTCTGGGAAACTTTTCTTATCTGTTAGGCAGGCCTCTTAGCCTTCTGTAAAGCCCTGGGAGAAGCTGTTATTAAGGATTTGCATATATCCTTTCAGACTATCTATCCCATTAAGCTCCTACCATCCCCACTATCTTTCCTTTTTTTTGTCTTTTCCAGGTGGAGACAGAAATCCAGCGTGTCTCGGAGGCGTATGAGAACCTTGTAAAATCATCCTCCAAAAGAGAGGCTCTGGAGAAAGCCATGAGAAACAAGCTTGAGGGTGAAATTCGAAGGATGCATGACTTCAACCGGGATCTGAGAGGTGAGGGACTCACTTCTGAAGCATTGGCCAAGATGGCGAAGGGAAGGGCTGAGGAGCATACATTGGGGCTCTCAAGGCTTGTCCAGCCCACTAGTATGACTAGGAAATTGCAAGGCATAGAACAGGCTAGGTTTTGGGTATGGCATCAGAACTTGGTCCTAAGGTTGCTTCATGAAAGTGGGATGAGCTGATGTGTTAATCAGGCAGTATCCCCCCAGGACTCCTGGACCCACCTGGCTTGTTCCCACAATCTGTGTTGCCTCTCTCCTTTCTAGGTTTTGCAGAGGTCTGTCTTTTGGCCATGCAAGCTTGAAATAGTGATGTCCTCTGTTGTTTCTGGGACTCACTCCTTTTATTTTTACCTTAACATGATAATACTGGAGATGGTGAGAAAAGACACCTTAAATACCTTCAAAACTGATGACCTTGGGAATGTTATTTTCGGTCTTTGAATTTAAAATGTCTTATTGATAAAATGAGACAACTGAACTAGACACTGCCCATGGTCCCCTTCTAGCTTTGATACATGATTTTAAAGACGTCATGATAACTTTGATGCTTTTTTTCCTGGCAAATGAAAGATGGCATGTATTCAGGGATAGATTCCTTCATCAGAATTAAGAATTCTGCACTTTGGTTTAGTGAGGGAGGGGTGAAAGTGTTAAGTGCTGACCTCCTCCTTCCCAACCATGGTTTAGATTTGTTTGGGGCTCCACATTGGTGAATCTGTGTCTGTGTCACCTATTCCCTGGTAAAAAGAAGAAGCAGGCTTGTTTTGCCCAAGATCAGTATTTAGAGAGCAAACACCATGTGCTTGGAAATTTGTATATGGAGCCCTGTTGATCGTCTCTGAATTCCACAGAGCGTCTAGAGACTGCCAACAAGCAGCTTGCGGAGAAGGAATATGAGGGATCAGAGGATACTAGAAAAACCATCTCTCAGCTCTTTGCAAAAAGTAAGTCTGAAAGCTATGGCAGCAGGTATTAATGCGTGGTTGGGCGCCAGATGTGTAAAAAGTTTACACAGATCTGCGTATCCTTCTAGAACAGCCAGGACAGAGCAAATGACATCTAGGGATTCTTTTTCCTGTTCAGGCATCTTGTTCTTTTTTCCTTCGAGGCCAAGAAGGCTGCTTGCCACATTTAGTCACATCAGCATGGCTCCCTCTGTATTAAACTAGGGAAGCCCCTCGAAACCCCTGCTTTTGTCCCAGCGAGCTGAAAAGGACCTTAGAGAAACATGGGGTCTCTTAATGTTGGAGGGATTTATTGTTGAAGGCTCCGTGGGCTGGCTGTGGTAGAGACGGGATTAACATGCAGGCTGGTAGCGTTTGGAATACCTAATCCGCACCTGCGGCTCCCTTAGTTAAACACCCTGTATTATATCATATCATTCCATATTGGCCAAGGGCAAAGGGAGCTAGAGGAGGACCACTGCCATGGACTGAGCTACTGACTCTGGTCGCCCAGTTGGAGGATGTGGGGGAGGGCAGAGCTACGTCTTCCCCATAATAGTGTTTCCTTTGTCTGGAAATACTCCAAGGAGCGTGACAATGAACTAATCCTCTTCTTTATCGGTCCCTAATAGACTCCACCCAGCTAGACAATGCCTCATTCTTTGCAGTTACCACAATAAAACCGGCAATAAAAACTCTGCAGTGGATTGAACCCATAGGGGGAAACAGATGAACTACCCTCACTCTGCATGTGCCCGTAATTGGTGCTGCCGACCCCCAGCCTCCCTCCCTGCGGCTCCCAGCTGGAGTAGCGCACGGAGGGGACTTGTCAAGCCCCATCTTTGCTGGGCCTCCACATGACCCTTTCAAGTCATTCCGTGCAGCTTCCAGTCCGCTTTTACAAGTTTGTTTGATCTTCACTTACAATATCCCCCTCCCTCCCTGGGTTGCTCTGTGGTGCACTGGCCTCAGAAGTGGGGCTTTTTTCTTCGAGCCTCCTGTTCCTTTGTCGGTATGTCTCAGAGGGAAGAACGCAGTTTTTCTGGTATAAATTGTTGTGCAGTGCTTTTGGGGTGTCACGGTGCCCCTGGAAGCTGGTTGCCTCGTGGAGAAGGTGGTGACCTCCCAGGACAAAACAAATCAAAAGAGAAAACGTATGGATTCTTGCCCCAGGTCTACTAGTTCATACTCCTCCTCCCTGTGTGGTAATGGTATTTCAGGGGTCCTGGGAGCTCTGCTACTGGTTTATAAAATGTGGGAACTCAGTAGATAAAAAACTGTATTAACAGCAAGGGGAAAGGCTGCTGCATGGTTCTAGAAGGGAAAAATGGACTCTACTTAACAAGCAGAGAAGAGGGCTGACTTGTGGCCTCTTAGTTCTTTTTGCCTTTGGACATCGACAGGGTGCTGCATGGTTGGAACTGTGACTTTTCTGAATTTACATCTCAAGTCGGTGGTAGAGCCAGTGAGAGAGTCCAGATCTTGGGTATGCTGGTTCTTTCAGCTGTGTGTTAGACAATGCTTAATAATGGGTCTCATTGTCAGTTTTACTCAGGTAAGGTTTTGAGCCAGCTCTGGAGTGGCAGTAATGACAACTCTTGTCTTGATAGATAAGGAAAGCCAAAGGGAAAAGGAGAAGCTGGAGGCCGAGCTGGCCACTGCCCGTTCTACCAATGAGGACCAACGGCGACACATTGAAATCCGAGACCAGGCCCTGAGCAATGCCCAGGCCAAGGTGGTCAAGCTGGAAGAAGAGGTATGTGTAGTTTCCTTAAGTAGCATATGAGGCTGAGGTGGGGAAAAGCTGGGAAATCAAGGGATCAAGGGTGCTGGGGACTCCCCACTTTGGTGAGCTAGCAGCTACACAATCCCCCAGTAGGAAAGTACCATCTGCTACTTCTTTTTTTAAAAAGATTTATTTATTTATTTATTTGTTTATTTAAGAGCATGGGCTAGAAAGACAACACAAGTGGGGGGAGGGGCAGAGGAATAGGGAGAGAGAGAAACCCAAGCAGGTTCCCCATGGGGCGCGCAGACTGACTCAGAGATCCATCTCACAACCTGAGCCAAAATTATGAGTCGAACACTTAACTGACTGAGCCACCCAGGCGCCCTGCCATCTGCTACTTCTAGTTATAGCTGTGCTGATGTGAGTGGACTTTGATTTCTTTTCTCTTCTCTGCAAGTTCCTTTGGCTCCAGAATAGAAAATCACCAAGGTCAAGGAGCAATTTCCATTTGCTCATTTCATCTAAGAAGCTAGTCACTCCCCACCAAGTTCTCACTGTAGACCTAGCCCTACTTCAAGCCTGTGGCCGATATATACTTTTTAATTCCTGCCCTTATAGGGCTTTAAAGCTTGTTTTTTTAAAGAAGGGCTAAAAAAATGATTCCATAATTTTAAAGTACTCCAGGGATCTTAACATCAAAATGGTCCTTGTCTTCCCATACTCAGTGGGAAGTTGGTCCTCTTAGGTGAAAATTAATAAGGTAAATGAAATTTGATGGCTATGCCCCTTGTCCTAGGATTTATTTTACAGATTGGTTTTGAAATAGAAGCAGTCTTAAACAGGATGGGACCCAGGGACAATTTACAGTTTGTGGCAGGCCACGAGCAGTGCCCTGGTTCTTCCTGGCTAGATTGTAGAATGTAGGTATGTGGTGGGGTACAATTGTCACTTTTTTTGTGTGCAAGGATGGAGTCTTTCTTTGACAAATACAGGAGCCCCCAAACTACTAAGCATATGATAAATATGTATCTGATTAGTCTTGATGTAGATGTTACTCAATTGCAACACTGAACTGTGTTCATGTGAAATACAGGCAGTGTTGCTGCTGGCCTGTCACTAATTAATCTTCCCTGTCAGTTGTCATTGTATTGAAGTACTACTAACTCTTCGATGTTTTATACTTTAGGGAATGGGTGTGTTCCAGCAATAATTGATGCCAAAGTGTAACTTGGTGAAGAAAATTTCATATCTCACTAACTATTCTAAAATTTGAATTTTGTTTTAAGAGGAAAAAATAGCCTCTGTTGTAACATTGGAAGCCTTATAAACTGGAGACCCTCCCCCCCAAAAAAAACGTGTTTAGTGTCCAAGCCCTCAGCACTGTAGCTCTTTTATGTATGAGCTGTTCTTCCTACCTTCCTTCATTGCCTGCTTCTTCTCTCTCAGTAAGAATGGTTCTAGTTCTAGAGGTCTGACTTACAGATACCCTTTGGTTTTGGGGGTAGGGATTAAAATGCTTTTTGGAGGGGCACCTGCATGGCTTAGTCAGTTGAGTGTCTGACTCCTGATCTCACCTCAGGTCATGATCCTCAGGGGTTTTGAGATGGGGCTTCAAGCTCAGCGGGAGTCTGCTTGAGATTCTCTCCATCTCCCTCTCCCTTTGCCCCTCTCGTTGCTTGCCCTCTGTCAAATGAATAAATCTTTTAAAAAAAATGCTTATGTGTTGTGGGTTCATAGATTTCCAGTAGGTAATGTCACCTAACCTATATTATCCTTGACCTGATTTGCTTAATCATTAAACTTCAGGTTGGATAAATCGGGCTCATGTCCTGCTTCTTAAGCTGTCTACATGAGAAATACTGCTAAGTTTCTTTTCTGAACATGAGGAATGCTTGTATATGTCTGGTATCCAGACCTAAGGAGCACACCCTTGAACCTTTTGCTATACCTCATTAGTGCTTTTCCTTCCCCTTTTTGTGAGGAAATCACAGAGTAAATTACAGGACAAGGATAAGACTGTATTCTTCGAGAGAAGGGAAAACTGAGAGACTGGCTGAGAAGTAGCTTGCTGGTGGTCACATGGCAAGTCTTGGGTAAAGCCAGGAATAAAACTGGAATCTCATGACTCTTCATTCCCTACCCTTGCTGCTTGTCTCCCTGTCTGAATCATCCTTTGGTTCTATTCCCAAAGAGAAAATGTGGGCGCTTGTTCAAATTTAGTAACCCCTGCGTCTTTTCATTTAAAAAAAAAAGTTTCACTCATAGGGCCCCTCTTTTTCAACGACTATGAGAAGCTTGTCCAGAGTGGTTTGAGATTGGGCTGTATACACAGCCCTGCTACCCCTCCAGGAAGGGTGTCCATCCAGTAGGAGATAAATGGGGACAAAGACTAAGCAAATCTCTTGGTTTGCTGTGTCCTAGGGCTCAGTGGTAACTGGTTGTTAATCATGAAAATAATATACAATATACATCTAAGGAGAGGATGTTAATTTGTAGTTCCCACTGGGCAGCCCTCACTGCAACAGTTGCCTGAAATATATTTCTGGCTTCTGAGGCTTTTCTGGGCGTTCGTTCCAGAGATTTTTAGGATTTAGATTTCTAGGGCCCTGCCCCTGAAACACACAGATTTACGATTTATAAAAGAAGTTCTGAAAATTGGGCTAGGAGTCAATCATGGCACCTGGTGGCCAGGTATCTTAAATGAGCTCATTGATTATTGTTAACTTTTAGGCTTCACCCAACTTGGACTTTTGCTCAGAGTCTGGTTGTTGGGAAATCTGAGTTGCTGTTGCTAAAGGAGGTGTAACATTTGATGGAGAGAACGGGCCGAGAGCCTTTTACCCAATGGAATCACAAAGGCAAAGGTCGTGTAATGTCTCCCAGACTCTAGCACATGGGCTTGAAACCATGTCTCAGGAAAAATCCACTGATTCCTATTATCTTTTCTGTCTTAGCAGCCTATCTGACCTTGGTTTGCACCTGGGTGGTGGTTGCCTTATCTCCTTTACAATATTCAGAGGAAAACATTCCCTATCCTTAATCTCAAATACAGGAATTGGTTACTGAACTTTCGCTCACCTGCTGCGACTCAACCTCCATTAGGCTTCTTCTGTCTGGGGTAAAATTTTTAAGTATGGAACATTACGGAAGGTAGCTCTGGAGCTAATCTAGTAAGGAATCTTCAGTGTTCACAAAATTAGTTAACATCTCTAAATTGAGGAGGGTATTCAGGAATAGAAAATGTAGTTCCCTATCTGGAGATAACTCACATAAAATCATTTTTGAAGACAGAGGGATATGTCAGACATTTGCTATGTCTCCTGTAAACAGAGAATTTAGTTATGGCTTACAAATGGTACTTTTACACACTACCATTACTTTTCCTTAGAAGTTCTTCCAAGAGAAACCTCTGTAGTCTACTTAGCAAATGAGAGTTAGGGAAACATTTCCCAAATTAAGTAGTTGGCCTAGGGAGTATTTTCTTAGCCTACTAAGTATAATGTCAGGTCAATACATATATCAAATTATTATGTTGTATACCTGAAACTAATATAATGTTATATGTCAAATATATCACAACTAAAAAGAAGAAGGCCAGGGAAAGATTATGACTAGTTTAATGATCCAAGGACCCTTGGATGTATTTATGTCTTTCTGTGTATAAAGTTCTCATTTAGATGCTCTTCAAATTCATTTCATTTTTCTAATCCCATTAAGTCTCTTGTCCATGGTACAATTCACTGTGCTCTAAGCTTTATACAGAAATGTGCCTCAGGCTTACAGAGAACATTGTCTCACAATCACAGCTTCTTCCTCTTCCAAGCTCAGCAGAGATTCTCTGATGGACCTCGCTCTGTTGACATCTGGGGAGGTATCTTGCTGGAAGGGGCTAGCACTTTTACTAAAGGAGAGACCTGGTTTTTCGGTGATTCACTATGACCCAGGTCTTGCCACCAATCTGTGTTGAAGTGGAGGCCCATTAAACTCCAAGGCAAAAGAACTCTGTCCACAGCAACCATGGTTGCTTCCATGCAAAGGGACCTCCCCCAACTTCCCTCCCACCCCCTACACACACTACCACTAATTTGACCTCACTGGAGAGTTTTGACAGATGCCTGGCATATCCACTCAATAGGCTCTAGGCAGCCCAGACTTCTGGCTGGCTACTGTCTTACGATGATCCAGAGCTGAGCCACTGCTTGGGTAATTGTTTCAGGAATGCTGGGGAAAAGGCCCTGGCAAGATCAAAGAGGGAAGATGCTGCGGGTGGGCTGCTTACTGAGCAGAGGGCTCTGGAAGGGAGAGAGCGGAATGTGGGAGGGCTGGCAGAAAAAGTCAGTGAGCCTTGTTCTTTGGCTTTAGGCTAGAATGACAGCCGCAGAGATTCAGGGGAAAGGGGCCCAAGTGTTAACCTTTTCTGAACTACAGTAGCTGGTGATGATTTAGACATCACACTGATAACTCTTGATGCCCATGCATTTTCCAATGTCCTTTTGCTGCTCCACTCAATTCTTCAAAACAAAGTTCATGTTCTTTCCTTCCATTTCCACCATTATTCTTTTATGGCTGATATTTTTTCTTATTTCTAATTCCCTTGCTACCTACTTGATTTGTCATTTTGGTTTTGGAGATGGACAGTTTTCTGCTGTCACACTTATCCACATAGTACCATAAGAAGGTCTCCTTTCCCAGTACTGGAGGAAGATGTACTAGGCATAGACATTTATGTTTCATCCAAAATCATCTCCAGACAATAGCAATTGTGTGAGTAGGTAAAACTCACACAGTAGTTATGATGGATTATAAATGTGGATGGAACATCTGAGGTTACTAATTATGTGTGCATTTAGAGTATTGATAGGAATTCAGATAAAGTACTTTATCTACCCAGGATGGATTTTTGGCTTATTTGAAGGGCATTTCATCTAAGGATGACATTTTCCATATTTATGGCAGTATTTTTTTTTAGAGAGAGAGCGTGTGTGTTGATGGGGGGGGGGATCTTAAGTAGGCTCCATACCCTATGT